TGCAGCCAAACAATGTAACAGATTCAGTTCATCTCACACTTACACTGGCATATGTACAGCTGCCCTGCAGAATAAGAGGTAGAGCTGCTTGGTTAATGTGTAAGAATACAACAGTCACTGAGAAACGTTTTTACAGCACTATTTGAATTATTACTTGTGTGAAGAACTTCTCTCTCTTCTCCTCCTCTCTCTTCCTCCCTCCCTCCCTTTTTACTCATTGACTGGGTGATACAGGAATGCAACAGTTTTCATAGCTTGGTCTTTCATATACATTTAAAAATAAAGATTCAAAAAGGGGGGGGTTTGAGAAAAATAGACAAAAAGAAGATAATTTGTTGACATATAATGAGAATTTAGCTCATGTGGATAGCATAGCGCAGTTAATTTGGTAGTGAAATAATACAACGATTTCAAACTGAAATCTCTGGCTTGATTTTCAGAATTTTTGGGGAATCTTAGCTCCATTTGAGATGCTTTGAAATCTCTTAAACACATGCAAGATTATTGGGTTCTTTGTCTCAGGAGATGCATTTGAAAAGCAGGATGTTCCCTTTGCTCTCAGTTTTATCTAATTTCTTTCTAGATGAAAAAGCTGAGGTATTAAAAAGATCTCTTTTGCGATTTATTTATTTGGCTTTGGGATTAGTTACTTCAGCATGGGTATAATTATTATTACTGTGTGTATAAATAGTTTGAGTATGTAATTCATCAAATTACTGTAATTAAACTCTTTGAAACTGAGATCACAAACACAGCTTTGCTCTGATGATCCCTGTCAGACTTGTGAAATACACAAGGGCAGAAGGCTAGCTCAGAGAGTCTGTGTGGTTAATTAATTGTTGTTTTGAAGTGTGTTAGACATAGAGGTGTTGAGATGTTGTGTTGTGGAAAGAGCCACTGACCCTGATGAGTGTTGACAGATGAGCTGACACCACCAACGACACCATCCTTTACTGTCTGCAGGGGTAAAACTGTCTACCACTTTCTCTTTGTTCTTATGTTTAAATCAGATTTCTAAGCTGGGTCTGCCAATGTTTGTTTGATCTCAAACTATTATTTTTATTACAATTTGTTTTTTTTGTGTGAATAATTCAACCTAAGCAAAGTTAGAAGCTAAATGTTTCATTGTCCCTTCCACATTCATTTATTAAGTAAAATTAAAATGTAATGTACACGTATATGACTACGGAATTAATTACTATTTTAAAGGCTTTACAATGTAAGCATCATAACAAAGTTATATTGACAGTTATATTCATGGCTCTCTGGAATATTCAACTGATCAGTTGTGGCATTCAGCAGTTTGATCAGCAATGTTCCTCTTGTACAAAACAAAAAAGGCCTATAAAACAATATTATTATGAAGTATATTTTTAAAGAAACAGTTCACTTAAAAATGAAACTTTACTCTAAATTCATTCATCCTCAGGCCATCTGAAATGTAGATGAGTTTGCTTGTTCATCAGAACAGATTTGGAGAAATTTAGCACATCACTTGCTCACCAGTGGATCCGCAGAGAATGGGTGCCGCCAGAATGAGAGTCCAAATAACTTATGAAAAACATTGCAATAATCCACAAGTAATCGACATGACACTGTAAAAAAAAATCCGTAAAATTTACGGTAAAAAACCAGCAGCTGTGGTTGCCGGAATTTTACCGTAAAAAATACAGTAGCAACGTTTTAGGTTTTACGGTTTTAACTTAAATACCGTAATTTCATTAACTGATATAATGTTAATATACCAACCTATTGAGGTACTGAAATCTGTTTTGTACCTTTGTAATACACTGATAACCACCAAATGCAGGTGGTGAGAAAGTCACATGATGAACCAAAGCCCATCACAAGCAGCTTTTAAATAATAACATATATAGAAGGTGCACAGTGTCATTCACACAAACGCTAAACACCATCATGGTAACACACATGAAACTGAAATAATGCAATAAACATTCATTTAACAACATTAGGTGTAACATATAACCCTAATATACAAAACTGATAAGAAAAAACTAAGAAGAAACATAGTTATTTCAACAAAAAAACATCAAATTTGAAATGTAAGCAGGGAATTCTGGGAATGTCAATTTACGGTTATTCACTGTAAATTATACGGTCTTTTTCACTTCCAAAAACGGTATACTACCGTAAAATTAATGTCCAATACATGTAATATCCAATACAGTTTTTCACCGTATATAGTAGGGGAATTTACCGTTAACCATTTAACAGGTTTTTACTGTAGCATTTTTACAGTCTTTTAACGTTAAATTCACGGTTAGTCCATCAATTCTTGCAAAGTGAAAATCTGCAATCTTGTAATAAACAATTCAATCATTGAGACGTAAAATATGAATCCTCTATAACATTGTTTTCTCCAGTAAAAAAGTTGTTTTGTCTGAGTCAGACCACTTGTGGATTATTATTCATCTACATCTTCCGTGGTCTGAGGGTGAATAAAATTTCAGCAAATTCTTGGGTGAACTATTGCTTCAAGTAGACACAATGAACATGTTAGGCAATGATTACAGCTTGTGATTATAATGATTACAATATAATAATAGACAGTTTTATATGTCGATCCAAAGTTGGCATCAGTCTCTCTGCTCTCTCCATTTTTTACTGTTGTTTTTATGCTTCTACTGTTACTTTTATGCTTCATTCTTGCCCCAGACACAGCTGTTAACCCAGCGCCATACCCCCTGTTAGCCTTTAGCCCAGTTGTGTCTGTCTAGCAGCGCTCCTGCTGTGAAAGGGTCTAATGCAGAGCAAACAAACATGTCAACAGTACATTCGCTCTTTCACACACACACACACACACGCACGCACGCACGCACACACACATATTGGTCTGTATGATAGGAGATGCCACTCACATAAGATATCAACAGTAAAAACAGATATCTGTTTTGGTCTGAAACGCACGTTAGCTTTAAACAATGGCTGACAATTTATATTTTCTCTCAGATTCTGGTCTCACTGGCTCAACATGTCAGACCAGCCCATAAAACCCACTTTGACCCAACAGATGGGTTTGATTTTATTGCTGATCTGAGAGCTTTTGGCCTCATCTAATGCTATTACATGAAGAACATTCACAACTGATCTTAGATCAGACCAAAGCCTCAGGGGAAGAGAAAGCGAGTGAGAGAAGAGACAGTAAGATGTCTCTGAAAAGCTTTGCTTTGAAGTGTAATGGAAAGCATTAGTTACTTTCAGGTGTAATAAACTTGAGCCAAATGTATCGACAACAGCAAATACCTTCTGAAAGGCTTTTAACAATGTCTGCCAAATGTCTTTCTCTACTTCTCTCTTAGAGAAGTAGTTTCCCTTAGTCTGTTCCTCTCTCTCTCAATCTCATTCCCCTGTCTCCCTGTTTATCCCCCATATCTCTTTCACTCTCTCACCAAACATTTCTATGACTCTTGGAAACTTGTCCACCCTACACACTGCAGGCGTTATACATCACTTAAGAAGTTTAACACACATGTATCACTCTTTGTGACTTCTGTTGAATTTCAGCTGTGGGGGAGGCACTCAGATCAACCGAGCCAAGAGTGCTCAATCTTCATCTGTTGAGGGGGGTTCATTTTGTCAAATGCCTCTTTGGTGCCAAAATGAGACCCAAGTGCAAAAGTACAGTACAGACTGAGAGACATTATACTCGATTCAATGGCAATCATTTCGAATAGTATATTTGGCTCAAGGAATCAATAAAACAGTCATGTATCTCTATGACCCTCAATTAAAATACATTTTGTTATGGCTTTTAGTTTCCCACTAAAAGCACTCACTGTGTAAATTATTTTTTGCAATATATATAATACTTTATGATTTTGTGTTATTCACATTATTTCTCAAAAGGTAGGTTCCTGTGAATGTGTAAGACTTCCAATTCATTAGCGGCTAGGAGAATAACAAAGTGCAGTAAACCATTAAACTCTTTGCACTAAAAACCAGTGTGTTAATGATTATGAGAATACATTTAAATAATATAATAACAAATACCAGTTTGCATCATCAGGTAGCATTATGGATTATTTCTAAATAGCTTTAATAACTCATTGAAAAACTAAATTAAAAAACCTTGCACAGTCAAGGTAAAAATGGCTGTGCCCACCCTCACATTTAAAATAAGGTGGATACTTTTAAACCAAATCCATTACTCATTATTATAACAAGTTATTCTATATATGGTAATTATACACCATTTAACCCAATTACACCATTTTTTAATTGAAAAAATAAAATTTTATTAATTATTTTTACGTCATTAAATACTAGAATCGAACAGTTGTCAGAGCTGTCAAAATTCAACCAAGGTGCTTGAAACAAATCTTTATATATTTTCAGATTTTGCAAATGTGACACATACGTTCAGAATTATTATTGCACAGCTATGTTTTAGATTTCACTTAGCCATGACTTACTTTTACTTTTAATATCCAATTTGCAAGAATCAAAACAAAATCATGCTAACAGGCTTGTTTAATTAAGATCATCCTCTTCTGACAATCCTAACAAAATATAAGATAAAAAAAAAAATATATATATATATATATGTATATATATAAATTGTATTTTCATATATTTGGAAACAGGCATCCTCGTGGAGAAAGTGTTTCTGAATTTTTGTTAATGTTTTAAGAAAATGCCCTTTATTGACACATTGTAAAAGTTCATGTGTTAAAGTAATATTTTATTGGTATGTTCATAAGACTTCTCATAGTCGGACAAATCTGTTTCCTGCCACCTTAAACACATATGTAGTAATCAGGTTTTGTGCGTTTAAATGGCAAGTTTAGCGAAGGCTTATGCCACTCAGATGAACCTGTAAAATATTAAAAAACAACTAATAAGCACAGAAAGAGTAGAACCGACAGGATAGCTGTCACGGACGCCGCTGAGTGGCGCTGATTCACTGTGCGTTGGGTTCTTTCTGACATCCCTGGAGAGCACACAGGGAGCGAGTCAGCGCAGCACAGCGCTCCAGACCTTTGCCTTCAGCACCAGCAGATCCAGATCCTGCGCAGAGCGTCTCCAGCGCGGACCAACGCCGTGAAAACAAGCCCAACAGGATACTACGTGGGGTGATGGCTCCGTTACTAACATCTGTGTGATTTTTAAATCAGACGCGAAAGCGCTGATGTGAAGTTTCACGCCGCTCTCATTTGAGTTGAGATGAAGATCTGAGACGCCGCCAGAGAAGGAACTTTGCGTCTCCGCGCGCCCGGACGCCCTGCGGGGACATCGGGCGCTTTTGTGATCAGAGGACTGAACTTCTTTTTTTGTGTTTGTGGGTTTCTGACTCTCTCTGACAGAGTAGATATAGGAGAGATCATTTGGTGCGGATTGTTCAAGCCTCTCCGATTCGTGGATGGAATAAATCATAATGGAACGGCAATGAGACCCGTCTCTGCTGCTGGGCAATAATCCGGACCACCGCACCAACAGGTATGCAGCTTTTGCTGTTTATTTGGTTTGACACTTATATTTTACATGTGCTTAAATTAAAATTTCACAACGTAGATGTCAAAAGAAGAACAGGATGGTGTTTAGTAGCCTATTCCACATAGTCAAAAAAATAATTAATCAATTTGAAAATAAACGGGTATCGTCTGTTTTAGTGATCCATGACAGTTCGTTGCTTTAGTGAGTCATGCATTCTGATCGTGACCGGACGCGGGTCACTGAAACTTAATAGGTAGGCTATAGCCTGTGTGTAAACCTGAGAATCATCCTGGGAGCTATAAAGCTGGACTATTGTGTGTCAAGCGTGATTAAGAAATAATATCATAGAGTAAAAAGGGCAATGAGTGTGATGAGTTTGCGTGTGCCCGCGCGGGAGAGCAAGGGTGTGTGTGTTGCCGGTGCTTCGTCTTCTTACCGCATTAACAGTACATGCCATGTAAAAGTCAGGCTTACCCCAGTAAATCAGCTTACCCCGGTTGGAAAGGGTGCAAGCAGAGTAAAGGTCTCTGGTTTCATCAGCACACGGAGCCTTGCACGAGCATCTAACATGTGCCGTCACGCGCACATATACGGCCACCGACTCATTCACTCCAAGCAAGTCTGATGGGAAGTCCGAATCATTTTTGTGACTATTTCTCTCTCGCTCTCTCGAACAGTTCCTTTCAAACAAATGTATAAATGTTTTCATCATTTCCAATTTCGTCATTTGCAATTGTTCAGTGTCTTCTAGCCCTGATTTACCTCATAACATGACACTTAGAACATAAATAGGCATATCATTTGCATTTACATTAAACACAACATTATATCAGTAACTAACATTTATTTACACTTGCTAAAAAATGTTTATTTTTAAAAAAACGCTACTTCTCACAGTTCATAGGGTTTCAGATAATGTTTTATTAATGATTGTCAGTTGAGTGAGTCGCTGACTCGAGAATTACTGGAATCGATTTGATTCATTTTATTGCGCCTGGCTTGAACAAATGCTTCACACTTATTCGTTAGCGAATCATTCAAACAGGTTTTGTGATCCAGTTTAATCACTTCATTACAAAAGATTCTACTGAACTGAACCATTACGAGACAAAAATGCAATAAAAGTGGGTTTCACACATACATCTTAACTTTCTTCTTTTTAAGCTGTTTTTGCATCAGTAAATTGCACCAAATGAGATAAAGCGTTTTATAAATCCTCCAAATCACTCTGGAGATAAAAGACAGGAAAAAAATGAATATTGCAGAATATGGCCATATGAATTTGTAGTTGGAACTATAATTTCCACAGTAATTGCATTGCCTTGGCTGATGTGGTTGGCTGATATAACTCCCTTCGGGCCACAGTGCGCATTTATTCTCCTCCTAACAGAGCTGGTTATGTGTTCGCTATGAGGGAGGATGTTGTTGGGAGCAAAAGGCTTAGGAACACACAGATGCCCCGCTGATACTGGCTGCTGAAATAATCCTTTGTGAATCACCACTGAATGTAGTAGTTTATTTGATTTGGCTCTTTTGTGTGCAAGTCCTGGATCTGCTGTTAGAGTGAAAGTGGTTTAACCCGAGCACTGCATGTGGGACGGGCCTCGCTGTACTGATACACTAATTCTCACTCACTGGATGCATCTGAAAGCTTTTGCCAATGTAAATGGTTGAAAAGGGGCAAATGCAGTGATCTGCCCTTCCTGAGACCCAGAGCAAGTTTAATTAGCCTGTATATTGACAGGAAACAGAGAGTCGCTTTATAAAAATGATTTACTAATCACAGAGAAAGAGGGATAGAGAAAGCGAGAGAGTGTGCTAATTCTATTTGACTTATACCATCTGAGGTGGAACATTTGCAGGCCTGTTAAGAATCTGGTGTATTTTTAATGCACTAAACTTGGTTTTAAACTCTCTTTCGGCCAAGAATTTGTTTGTTATGCTAATGTTTTGTTTAGCTGCTAGATTATGCTTATTTTCCTTTCATTATCTCATTACCAATTTCATACACTCGAACGGCACGTGTATTGTGTGTGTTGTGTTTATAAAGATGTTTGGCTGCATTATTGTGTGTGTTTTCACAGGCTGTTAACTGTGACAAATAACTGTTACTTGTTGGAATGGCTAATGTCTGGGTCAGAGCGGGAATCTCAGGTTTCTGCAGCTGGTTTGGGTTTCAATTAAAATGATTTGAGTGTAGTCAGCTGACCAGACCCTGTTCATTCAGTCCCACTAATTTATCTAGTGTGGTGTGAATAATTCATCAAAGCGTTCACAGAGAACCGGTGTGTGTAATTATGTTTGTGCCATTGTGTGTGTGTGACTCCATTCACAGCAGCAGAATACAGCTGTCAGTCCAGTTTTAAAGTGCTAAATACAGATACATAGCCTGGTGTGTGTGTGTGTGTGTGTGTGTGTGTGTGTGTGTGTGTGTAAATGTGTATACCACACTACTGGTAAAAGGTTTGGAATTATTTATTTTTTAAATGTTTTTAAAAAGAAGTATCTTATGCTCACCAATGCTTCATTTACTAGATCAAAAATACAGTAAAAATACTAATATTGTGAAATGTTACTCCAATTGATGACTGTTTTCTTTTTTAATATGTTAATATTAATATATTTTAATATTTATTCCTCTGATAGCAAAGCTGAATTTTCACTAGCCATTACTTCAGTCTTTGGTGCCACATGATTCTTCAGAAATCATTCTAATATGGCTGAAACTGCAAATTGATTTAATGTGCACCTGTTCTCTTCATGTGAGATGATACTTCACACTTCACAACATTTGTTTGTTTGGAGTGCAATGGAAAATTAAATGAAGAACATGATTACTTGATTGTTTTTACTATATGGTGTCAATATCTGAAAAGGAAATTATGTAAAATAAATGACTAGCAACTATTAAAGAAACATGACAATGCTGTCATAGTGTTGGCAGAACAGTCTACTGTGGATCTGCAGTTTATTGAGTGTGATGACTATAGGTAGAACTGTGGAAGTGTTCAGTTTAGTTGGCTGGTGCGGTGTGGTTTTGTTGGCAGACATGGATTATTAGTGTAATGAGGTTTTTTATGCATTAGTTTTCCCTTAATAGTGAATTTGCAAGTTTAAATCCGTTGATACGCTCTAAGAAAAGTCTATAAAAATAAGGCCCAATGCACTGTTAATATGATGAAATGTCTGTATTGATCTCTCGCAGGTGTTTTACACATTTTAAATTACACATTGAATTGTGTTATCTTTTAGAGTTAGAGGAAATATCTGTAAACTTAACATAAAAAGTATTGGTTATTTTCTTCCAGGACATTATATGTTTTTGCACTGATATTTTTTCTTACAGTGTATGCCTTCAAAAACATTTTGTGAATGTAATGATTAAATAAATGATTTATACAAAATTAGTTGCGTTTAGAAGGTAATTTCACAATTTGGAAGAAAGAATGGAGTTTTAAACTTCTGAATATGTATGCATGAAAGTTTCATGGCCCTGGCATTGATGATTGGTTATTTTCAGTAAATTGCTTTGTGTGCAGAGTTGTCTGCCAAAGTGTTGATTAATAAGAGAATAACAAAACACCAGACAGATGAAATCTGCACCTTCAACCTTATTCTACTTTCTGATCCCATCATGTAGAATCACACAGAGAGGATCTCCCAATGAGAAAATAAGAGCAGTGATGACCACAACTTCACTCTTCACCTCAGAGTTCAACAGACCTTGGCCGAGAGAAAGAGAGAGAGAGAGCACTTTATTACTGCAGTCTCATCCTCCTTTCTTTCATTCAGTCATCATTTCTGTCTCACAGGACAAGATTAACATTACTGTCATGACACTGCCTCTGAAGGAATCAAGAGATGGAGCGAAAGAAAGTAATAGAGAGTAAGTGACCCCCAGTGTTTCCTGAGGTGAAGCATATAAATGGATGACTTGCTCAGTCACAGGGTGAGCTGGGTGGAGAGGTTGTGTGTGAGCATGTGTGTGTGGGTGTGTGTTTGTAAGCTGAAGTATTTATTTATTTGTTGAAAGAATCTTTATTTTCCAGTGAGAGACAGCAAAATAAGTGCCTAAAAAAGAACAGGTAAACAAACACAATAGAAATACCCACAGGAGAATGCTACTCTTTTAACGCTCAGGAGACTTGATGTTGTGCTTCATTTAAGTATCAACTTTGTCCAAAGTGTTTCTCTTAAAACGTACATGGTATACGTAGAGTAAAAGCATAGAGCTTTAAAATGAAAGAGGATAGCATTGCTCAGATAAATTGGTCTTGGGAGAATTTGATGAGAAATAATTGTGTTCGTACTGAAATATCTGACATTTCATTGCAGATTTGGGTATCTTGGCACAGTGACACGTGAGATTATGTGAGTCTTTCTCAGGAGAAAAATTAGAAGCAGGAGACTTAACAAAAGTATCCATTTGATCTCCTTTTAATGACAATGCCGCTGTTCTTATAGTAAATTTGAATGGTATAAAATTGAGTGAAATCTTTGGCATAAATTGAGTAAAGTGAATAAGAATGTAAAGTAAAACATTAAATTAGTAATCAAGAGCTAATACTGTACATTTCGGAGCATTTACAGGTACTTTTGAGTAGAAAAGGTCACAACAAAACAACTAAACTAAACATGACAAAAAAAATGCACTTTTTAAAAATGTATTTACACCTCCTTAACACATACTTTATTGAATGTTTTGAAAGAAGTCTCTTATGCTCACCAGTGCTGCAACTATTTGATCAACATTACAGTAAACCAGTAATATTGTGAACTATTATTTAAAATTACTTATTCTATTTTAATGTATTTTAAAATGTAATTTATTCCTTTTAGCAGCCATTACTCCTTCAGAAGAAAATCCTTCAGAAATCTAATACGTTGAGTTGGTGCTCAAGAAACATTTCCTATTATTTCCAATGTTGAAAATATTTTTATATTTTGAATGAATTTTGAGCTCTAATTATTACATGAGTACTAATGAAGAGTCTGCTAAATAT